GCTATGTGACTTTGTCCCTTATGGATTCTGTCGTTCTCCATGGCTTATGGAAAAATTTGGGGGATATGAAATAGGAAAAGAGCCATTTAGAGTGTTGTTGGCACTCAAGAAGGGACAAACAACCAAACATGGGCTAGAGCTGCTATTAAGGCTTACTGTTTGGATATAAAGACAGTGAAGCAGCAATATTTCTTTGCCTTTATTGTCTCAGCACATAGCTGCCCCACAGCCTTGTTTCAGAGGATTCATGCCCTCTTGGTTAGAAAGGACTTATAGATCCTCCTACAGGACTGTATAGAAAAATTTGCTTAACTTCTGTCAGTCAAAATTGCCCAAATTTGTTCACAGTTGGATGTCAGCCTTGTTGGAAGCCTTAAGGAGGTTCCTGGGGCAGATTCTTGCTCTGCTATCTTGGATCAATTTGAACCTATTGGGCCTGAGGAAATGAACAGGGCTCATAGGATTGTGAGCTTGGTCACTTCTTTGTAAATCCATGTCTTCCTGGCTACTTAAAGCTGCTTGAGAGGTGTCATATCGATGGGTTCTGGTAGTGGTGAATTTCTCCTTGTTGAGGAGGTTGCTCTTCCACTTCTTAAGAGGTGTTGATTTATCCCCTTATCATAAAACCATAGCTAGATTCTACCACATTAGACAACTTGGGGAGAGGATGTGATTGAGAAGGTGGCTGGACAGAAGCTTCAAAGAGCTCTGAACTTTGAAGTTGTACTTTTAGATGATTGTGCTTTACATGTATTGCCCCTGAAGAGTATTCAGAACACCAGTTGATACAAATTACTGTGGTGTAGGCTGCAATACATACCCCTAGAGCAGCACATGTGATATCTTGTCATGGTTCCAAACCAAGCCAGCAAAAGAAGAGGTAACACTGTGAGCAGAATGGATCTCTTTACTGGAGTCTCAGCTTGGCATGTGGTGAACAATACAAGTAAAAGGGTTTCTTGCCAGCTTTACTGGCTTCTACTAGCCAGCTGGTTATACAGACCCAGCATGCCCCATCTTCCTGTTCCTGGCTGGCTCCCTCAAATACTCTTGCTGCAGTCCGGTTGCTCCCTGGCCTGCTCCAGCAAGTACTTTTTTGGCCCGGCTCCAGCAAGCACTCTTCTAGCCTGGTTGCACTCTGGCTGGCTCCAGCAAATACTATTCAGGCTTCAATGGCTTCTGAAGTGACCACAGCTGGCTTGCCTTCCTGGCTTCTCTCCCAGTGTGAGTCCCATCACCTGACACCCATCTATGGTCCCATGCATCCCCCTCCCCCTGCACATGCATGGCAACTCTGAAACAGCGTGTTGTGGGCACTTTGAATGGCGCGCAGTCTTGGATGTTGACAGTATCTTAGTTCCATAAGTGATAGTTTGCTTCCATGTATAATTCAAGGTTTTGGTTTTGATTTTTAAAGCCCTTCATGGTATGGTTATTTGAGGACTTTCCTTCCTCCCTCTGCTGGTCACATCAGGTCCACCAGAAGTACACCCACTATTTATTTTTATTTAGGAAAATTTTATTTTCCAAAATGTCCATTTTCTTTTCCTTCTGTGTAATTATTTATTTTGTTCTTAAATTGTTTTAAGATAAATGTTATGTTTTTTAAAAAAGAACAAACTTCCAGGATTCCATTGCAGTCTGTGTGTAACTTTCAGCATAATAATTCTGTATCATTATGTGTTCTTAATAATTATGTTAGAAGCCACTACTTGGTTGATAGTCAAGTACTCCTGAATAGATTCACCTTTCAAAGTATTTTCATGGATCTTTTGTTAGTGTGATGGAGATCTGTTTTCTCTGTTTCAGTTTCACAAACTCAATATAGATAGTCCTCAACTTATGACTGATCTCTTGGTGATCATTTAAAGTTACGGTGGACCTACTTATGACCTGGATTCAAAGTTCAGATAGTTAGCACCCCCTGCGGTCATGTGACCACACTTAATATGCTTGTCAGCTGCACCAGATTTAGAGTCATTTGCTGTGTCCCACAATCACATAACTGTTTTATGACAGTTTTGCAGAAAAGCAGCATTTGTGTCTGGTTTTTTTTGTCAAAACTGGCCCATAGTGTACCATGGGTTTGCTTAATGACTAATGGTTGCTTAATAATTACAAAAAGTCATAATATTAGGTTGGTCATGTGACGATCTCCTTTACAGCCATCAAAACTTACAATTATCATGCACAAGCTTCCATTACAGTCATAACTTGAGGACTAGTATCTCTCCTCCCCCCCCCTTCCCAATATTACCGTATACTATACAGGTAGTCCTCAACTTTCAACCACAATTGAGTCCAAAATGTCAGTTGTTAAGCATGACAGTTAAGTGAGTTTTGCCTCATTTATGACCTTTCTTGCCACCCTTGTTAAGTTAATCACTGAAGTTGTTAAGTTAATTTGACTTCCCTATTGACTATGTTAGTCAGAAGGTCACAAAAAGTGATCACATTTTCCTGGGACGCTACAACACTCATAAATGTCTGTTGCCAAGCATCCAAATTTTGATCATGTGATCACTAGGATGCTGTGATGGTCGCAAGTGTGAAAAACAGTGATAAATCACTTTGTCAGTGCCATTGTAAAATTGAATGGTCACTAAAAGAATGTTTATAAGTCAGGGACTACATAGTTTATTACAGTTTTCAGGAGTTGATATCCACATTCGAATATCATACATGATACTTAGCTCATCGTGTATTGTGCATAAGAATCTTGATTATGCACTAGGCCAGGAGTCCCCAAACTCAACAACTTTAAAACTTGTGGACTTCAACTCCCAGAAATCTCCAGCTAGCTGCCAGCTATGCCATATGCATAGCTGGCTGGAGATTTTTGGGAGTTGAAGTCCACAAGTTTTAAAGTTGCTGAGTTTGGAGACCTCTGCACTATGCCTTTGTTATTGTGAAAAATTATATCAGGAAACCAGGGTTAAGCTTAATAATGCATGTAGACCTTCATTATTATGAAGTATATCAGGAAACCAGGATTATGTGTAGCTTCTTGTACTCGATTCTTGGACTGTGATTAATCAGAAACAAGATGTTCAAACCAACTTTTATGTATTGCAATTAATTTTAAGCCCAACTTATTTTGAGATGAGTTAACTTCAGTCTTGTAGCATGAGCTTTTTAGAATTATATCTTTGACATGAAAGGAGGACATGTTAGAGCAGGGGTGTCCAACCTTTCACCTTCCCTGGGCCACATTAGAAGATGAAAATTTGGTTTGGGCTGCACATAAAATAAAATAACAGTAAGGATACCCGATCATCCCAAAAAACCATAGAAAACATAGTTAACATATTAAATTTATTTGGAAATAAAGTTAGTGAGATGTTTTTATTATTTATTATTAATTATTTATTAAAAATTATTTGTTTTTTTATCACAGTTTTTTTATCACAGTTTATTTTCCGGCCAAATTTTGTGGGGGGGGAGGGGGAGGTCGGGAGAAAGCTCGCCTGCCTCACGCCTACCTCTCCTGCAAATAGCCCGGCTGGATGAGGCAGGACTGGAAGGCAGAAGCAGCAGCAGCAGCGGCGGGGGGCAGAAGCAGCGGCGGGGGAAGGCTTCTGCCCCCGCCGCCGCCGCCGCTTCTTCCCCCGCCACCGCTGCTGCTTCTGCCCCCGCTGCCGCTGCCCCCGCCGCTTCTGCCCCGCCACCGCTGCTGCTTCTGCCCCCGCCACCGCTGCTGCTGCTGCTGCCCCCGCCACCTCTGCTGCTTCTGCCCCCGCCACCGCTGCTGCTTCTGCCGCCACCGTTTCTGCCGCCGCCGCTTCTTCCACCGCCACCGCTTCTTCCCCCGCCACCGCTGCTGCTTCTGCTGCCGCCGTTTCTGCCCCCGCCGCCGCTTCTTCCCCTGCCACCGCCGCCGCTTCTTCCCCCGCAGCGGTGGCGGGAGAAGAAGCGGTGGCGGCGGGGGCAGCAGCGGTGGCGGGAGAAGAAGCGGTGGCGGCGGGGGCAGAAGCAGCAGCGGTGGTGGGAGAAGTGGCGGTGGGGGCAGAAGCGGCGGGGGCAGCAGCGGGGGCGGGAGAAGAAGCGGTGGCGGCGGGGGCAGAAGCGGTGGGGGTGGCGGCGGGAGAAGAAGCGGCAGGGGCAGCAGCAGCGGTGGGGGCAGAAGCAGCAGCAGTGGCAGAGCAGAAGCGGCGGGGGTGGCAGCGGGGCAGAAGTGGCGGCGGCGGGGGCAGCAGCGGCGGCAGGGGCAGCAGCGGCGGCAGTAACAGCAGGAGGTGGCGCTCTGACGGCGCCCACCTTTTCTCTTGCTGCTTGGCCTGGTGCTCGCCTCACCCTGCCTCGCGCCTGCCTCTCCTCCTCCTTCTCACTGGCTGTGGCACGATGGTTGGGGTGGGCACTGGGCCGCATTACAAGGTGATGTGGGCCACATGCGGCCCGTGGGCCGCGGGTTGGACAAGCCTGTGTTAGAGTAATTGAGGTTGTGTAATAGCCTTAAATTCATTAATTGCTGTAGTTCCAACTGCTTGCTGTATCATTCACACATCAGGACGCAATAGCTCTGCATTTAGGGGTATGCAAAATATTTTGGTTTCATAAAAAGTTCCAGAGAAGTCTGAAATATTTATTTCTCCCTCTGAACTATGTCATTTTGGGAGGAGCTTCTATAAGTTAATCCTCAGGACTGAAATGAGTTTTTCCATTCAGGAATCAATGCATTTTTTACATTTCTTCACTTTAGCTTTTCCTATGGGTAAATGGTTGTGATGGTAGAGTATAAGTAGTGCTTGTTTAACAATCCTAATTGGGACTGGCTTTCTTTTGCTAAATGAACCAGTAGTTCAGCAAAACTTTCACATGAGCATATTGACTTACAACGGAAGTTCCAGTTGTAGTTGTTAAGCGAATCATCATGGCAGCCACATTACCCTATTTTTTTTAATTGCTATTTTACCCCTAAAATATTTGAATTTGTTTTTAATTACTTATATGTTATTCTGAAGTGATTTATCTTGGTCTTATTTTTTAACATTTTTCTTTAGTATCAGATACTGATGGTGGTGATGGCTTGCAACTCAGAAAGGAGCATGCACTCAAGATTTTTGCTTATATCAGTTCTTGGACACAAAGGTAAATCTGTTTTTAAGTAGCCCTTATTCATGATGTGCATCTACATGAATGTGTGTACAGGCAATCTGAATAGTAAAAGTAGTAAATATGGATAAGTTGATATAAACATAATTGTTTCATTTTTTATGTAATTCTGTATTAAACAGATAAATCATTTTGGTTTACATGGTAACTTTTGCTTGAATTTTTGGTAAAAGTACAATAAGTACTGTTATAAGTATGCGGCGGTTATAAATCTCTTTTTTTTGTAGACTTGCATCAATTTTTCAGTTTGTGGGACACTACATTTTTTGAATTGCTTATATATTGCATTAAATATTGAAAAAATTCTGAAGTGATTTATCTTGGTCTGAATTTTTTCAACATCTTAAAAACCTGCCTTTTAATATATATCAATTGTATCTCGTTTCTCTGATTTTAATGTGTTAATATATTGGTAAAAGTAAATATATAAACATGTGGTTTTCTAAGTCAGTATGTGGCCTGCAACATATAGCTCTATAGAAACTGCTGGACTCCTCCTCCCCCCCCCCCCCCCCAGGTTAGCAGAAATGTGTAACCTAAGCCCTGTTGGAAGTGTAGGAAAGAAAAGGGCACTCATTTTCATATGTGGTGGACCTGCCCAGAAATGAAGAAATACTGGAACACAATTTGACAGTGGCTAGAAGAAATTATAAAACAGAAAACTGAATCTAAACCAGAACTCTTTCTATTCGGCATAATAACACAAAAATGTAATAAAAAGATAGATATATTATGTTACATATCTTAACAGCTGAGAAAGATCTCTTACGCGCAATTTTGGAAGCAGGAAAGAGTGCCACCAGAGGATGTTGTTATAAAGAAAATATTAGACTGTATAGAGATGGACAGGCTAACGCTGAAATTAAAATATAAGGAAGATTCGACATATTACATAGTCTGGGACACCTGGTATGAATGGTTTAAGAATAAAAAGAAATTAAAATGGCAATTAGGTAAAGAATGAGAAATCATATAAATATGTATATATATTATGGAGAAAATTGAAATATACGATGAAATATATTGATTTGTAGCAAGAGTAAGGAAAGAATTATGCAACGGTAATAGAATAAGAAATTATATAGAGAAGAATGTAAGGAAATGTAAAAGATGTCTTGATGTTGATAAAACGACGTATGAAGTTTTATGTTTTTAATCTTTGAAAATTGAATTAAAAAAATTTTTTTTAAAGAAACTGCTGAACTCAAGTCCAAGTAAGTGAGGGATGCTGGAAAATGTAATCCACCAAAATTGGAAGGATCCCATGTTGTTCACTTATAATCTAAAGTAGTTAGTACAGTTATTTGTGGAATTCTGAATTTTAATTTTAATTTACCTTTCTTTAAACAGGCAGTGTCTGTGCTGTTTCAAGGAATATAAGCATTTGGAGATTTTCAACCAAGTTGTGTGTGCTCTTATAAATCTAGTGATTGCTCAAGTACAGGCTCTTCGGGACCAGCTGTGTAAACATTGCACTATTAACTTAGGTTCAGCATGGCAAGACGAAAATAATGCATCTGATGAGCCACTGAATGTAGAAAGAGAAACTCGAGAAGAAGAGAACGAAGATAGTCATAAAACTACAGAAGAAAAAATAGATTCTGGGAGAACTTGTATCCTGACAGAAGAAGAATCTGCAGAAGGTTCTGATGCCTTTAGCATATGGAGCACCGAGGAGAAGGAGAAACTCTTGCTTTGTGTTGCAAAAATTTTTCAGATCCAGTTTCCTCTGTATACTGCCTACAAGCATAATACGCATCCCACAATAGAGGTACATGTTACCCAGACTTGAGTTTTTTGTGAAAATGATCTAAAAGTTAAGCTTTAATTCTTGAGTGTTATAAAATCTGACAATAATATTAAGTATCATATTCTTTGGAGTATAGTCAGTATCTGAAAACTTGCTGCAATTGTCCTAACTATAGAGAGCTACAAGTAGAATTGTATAGGAAATGTGTATATGTAGCAGGAGAAATGAAAATACTTAGTTGATTTGAATGGAGCAAATCATCATGTTTGAAGTCATAATTATATTTTTACTATAATATGTCAAGCTGTAAAATTAGCTGCAGTTTGCTATGATAAATTTTTTTAATCCCTAAAGTACAAAAATCTACATATTGGTAGAATGTACACACACGCGCGTGCACACACACCATTCATTTGGGTCAAGTGGTATTACAAATCAGTGATTCATAATATATATAATATAATTATAAATATATATGCTTTAGTCATTCTACCATATTTTAATTATAGTAGCAGTAATAATTTAATTTATATGCTTCCTAGTTACTTTGAACAGATTTTCTAATGTAAACTGTTACAGTTGGGCAGTAATTCTTGCCCCTGTTTTTTCAATTTTCCGCTCTGTGGCTCTGAGTATGCTCAGGTCCTTTGCCTGCTGGACTGAGTCTGCTTGGTATTTGAAGCTCCACCCTGTGCTGTGGCCACGCCCCAGTTTTCGACTCAGTCCAGCCACAATGGACGTGAGTTAGAAGTGGAGGCCATTTAATTCTGAAAAACAGCTTAGAAGTTCAAAAAAGCAGGAAAAGAAGATCATGCAAGAGCTGCAGCCAAGAGAGAGAGGCTTTTAGCCTCCATTCTTGGTGAAAGTGCTTAGGGCGGCCATTTGGAGCTGCTACCGCCTAGAGGAGTTCCCAGTGATCGGCCTGATAAGGGCATCAACTGTTTTGTGTGATAGCGCAGCAGCAGCACGGGCAATCAGCCCGTTTTTTTCACTCTTGTGTTGGCTGCGAAGTGCTCAATGTAGCAGCAAACGGCTGAGAGAGCGATCGGCCCAGCAGATGGAGGAATGCTTTGCAGCAGCGCAAAGTAGTCCGCTTGATCGGGCAGTTGGCCTGATCCCAGCTGGATGGCGCAACTGCATGGGGCAGTTGGTGCGCAAGGAGAGGATTGAGCCCAGCTGGTAGAGCAGTCCGGCCATGTTTCCAGTGCTGTGGTTCCTGTTCCAGCGCTGGGGTAGATGCGTGGGCAGTAGACCTGTACGCAGGTCCTTTAACTTACTGTGGTGACTGGCAGGGCAAGGCTACAGCCCAGCAATAAGCCTATTCAGGCTTGCTTCGCCAGTTCAGAGGTAAGAGGAACCTTTTTTATGCTGGATGGGGCCTAGAGGGCAAGGTAAGCAGTAAATGTGAAAGTAATTCTTCATCCCCTCCTCCACCAGGATCCAACCTTTCCCTCTGACTGTTCTGCAATTCCTAACCCTCCAGTTAGGATGGCGATAAAAATCAGGAAGGGGTGATAGCCCTTCTACTTCTAGAGGTAGATCTAGGGGCAGGCAAAGGAAAAAGGCTCCTGAACCCAAAAAGCCTTCCAGGGCAGAAGAGCAGGATGCCTTGAGAAGATAGAAAGCTGTAGAAAAACAGAATGAGAAAGGCCAGCCTGCTGCTGGGGGGAAGGAGCTTGAGATCACCATGCCCAGATGAGTCAGCTTCTTCTGGTCTACCTCCAGTTTTACAGATGGAGCCTGGGCCTACCACCACTACAATTAGGCCTCATTCACGGGCCTGGTCCCCGGATGAGTCATCTGCTTCTGTTGAACCTCACCTTCTAGAAGAAGTCAGGAATTATGAAAGGGATCCCCAAACAGCTTTCCAGGATGAAGCTTGGGAACCTCCTCCTAAGAGATCTAGACCAGGAGTTGAGGCAACCTTTACGCTCATATGGAGGCAATTATATCAAAGGCCATTAGTCAAGGGATTGCGGAAAGCCTTCAAGCAATGCAAACACCTGAATCTGTGATTCAGACTTCGAGCATTCGATACATTCTAGAAGCACACAATCCTTGAGGGACAAGGCTTCTCCTGACCCTTCCATCTATAGGGAATCTGATTTCTCAGTGGACGAAGACATGCCCCAGGAGAAACCATCCTTTTGGGGACTTTCTGAATCCTATAAATTCAGTGCCTTATTGTTCAAGGCTAGGAAGATGGCGCAGTTGGACCCAGAGGCAGATGTTGGGAACGTAGAAAGTGATGCCAGTATTCCAGACCAATTTTTCGCTGAACCAACAGTATACCCGGAAATGTTTTTAAACACAAGTAAGAAACAGCTGGAATCACCTGGCACATCTGTCATGTCAGACAACGAATGCTGCTATTTCAATATGGGGCCTGAACATACTAGCTCGTTATAGGTACCAGCAGTGGATAGTCCAGTGGCTGCCTTGGTATCTTCCTCATCGAATTCTGCAGACCCAGAGGAAGCACTGAAGGTGGAGGATAAAAGGATTGAACAGTCCCTCCAGCGCACTAACCAGGCAGCTGCCTGGGTGGTCAAGGCTGCATTGGCGGCCTCATTCTTCATGAGGGCTTCCTTATGCTGGCTTCGCCAATTACAGGACAGGGTTCCTGCCATGGATGTCTGAGTACATCAGGACATTCATGAGCTTGTAGCAGCGCCTGAATTTACTGCAGATGCCACTTTAAACAGTGCCAGATTTGCATCCAAAGCCATTGCCACATCAGAAGCTGCTCAAAGAATGGTCTGGCTTAAGAAATGGCAGGCTGATGGCCAACAAAAATGGAAGGTGGCATCTGCCCCTATCAAAGGGGATAAATTGTTTGGGGAGGTCTTGGAACCCCATCTTCTTGAGACCAGAGACAAAAAGTTGATCTTGACGATCAAGTTTCAGGGCAGTTCCATACCTCCCGCAGGTCGACATTCAGAGCTGAGGGCAGTACCAGGGCTCAAGGGCCACAGAGACAGGCCTTTAATAGCCAGGAATTCCCACAAGAAAGAGCGGCCAGAGATAGGCCTCAATTTTCAGGCAAGCGGCCCTTTTATGGGGGAGGAAGTCGCTTTTCCATCGTTCCCGTTAATTGTAGCAGGTTATCCAGTTTTGTAGCCCAATGGGAGGCTACTACATCCGACGCTTGGGTCTTAACTACCATCAGACATGGCCTTTTCTTAGAATTCAGATCACAACCCCCCAGTTTCTGTGTGCTTTTCCCTTTATCCAGGGAGGCATCCCACAGAAAGCTCATGGAACAAGTTATTCAACACCTTCTGGATATCCAAGCCATCCAGGCAGTTCCATTGAGCCAGCAGGGTAAGGGATTCTATTCTGGACTGTTCGTTATGCCTAAAGCTTCTGGGGGGTGGAGAGTATCCTTGACCTCAAAAGGCTCAATAATTTTTTGTGTTACAAGTGTTTCCAGATGCATTCGCTGCAATCTATTCTAGAGAGCATCAGGGAGGGTGACTTCCTCACTTCAATTGATTTGACAGAGGTTTACCTGCACATCAGGATTTGCCAGGAACACAGAGGGTATTAACGCTTCAGCTATGCTGGGAGACACTTCCAATATAGGGCCATGCCTTTTGGTCTCTCTTCTGCACCCAGAGTATTTACTAAGATTCTGGCTGCTTTGGCAGCCCACTTAAGAACCTTTCCGGTAAGGGTATAGTATTACCTGGATGATAGTTTAATTCAATCATCCTCACATGAGTGGGCCTTAAAGGACCTCCAGGTGACAGTCTCCCTTTTGCAAGACCATGGCTTCTCAATTAACCACAAGAAAGAGTTATTTTACACCAACCAGATTATTATTTATTACATCTTGGAACAAACATTAACACTCTTTCTTGCAAGGTTTTCCTTTCACAGGACTGCTAGGACAGTTTGCATAAGATGGTTGGGGAGATCATAGGGCTGATAAGTCCCCTTTGGCTCTTCTCTTACAACTCCTGGGGAAAATGATCTCTTGCATTTCCATTGTGGCTTGGGCTAGACTGCATTCTAGGAAACAACAGTAGTTTCTCTTGCTCTACCAAAAGGTGGGCAGAAGCCACTCATAATTTCGAGTCACAGTCCCCAGGTTAGTTAAGCAGTCATTGTTCTGGTGGACTTACCAGGCATTGCATGCAGGTCACTTATTCAAAGAGCCTCCTCACATGGTCATCACCACTGATGCCAGTCTATCCGGCTGGGGGCTCATCTCCAGTCTCAGTTGGCTCAAAGCCAGCGGTCTGTTTGGGAGAAAGGAAGAAACATCAATTGGTAGGAGTTGAGAGCAGTAAGATGGGTGCTCAAGAAATTTAGGCACGCTATACAGAACACATGTCCTGATTTGGATGGATAATGTCACCACTAAGGCTCATATTAGCAGGCACCAGATCCAGGGCATTAATATTGGAGGCTGAATGTCTGGGGCATGGGGCAGAGAGGAATCTCTTATCAATTAGAGCAGAACATATTTCTGGGGTAGAAAATGTGCAAGTGGACTGGCTTAGCAGGGCCAGAATTGACCCCTCAGAGTGGAGTATTCCCCCTCTTTTATTTTAGGAGGTGACACAATGGTTCGGAGTACCAGTTGTGAACTTGTTTGCATCTCCCCAGGTTTTTCACCAGATTCGTGACCCAGGGGAAAGAAGGGACCAGTGCCCTCAGGATCAAGTGGCCTCAGGGTCTCCTGTATGCCTTCCCTCCTCTTCCGCTGCTTCCAGCGGTGATCAGAAAGATACTGGAGGAGGAGGAGGTCATACTTCTGGCTCCTTACTGGCCCAGTTGCCTCTGGTTTGCAGATCTGGTGAATCTCTCAATCACCCAACCATGGAGGATTCCTCCCCACAAGGTGCTGTTACACCAAGGAGACATAACTCATCCAGAGCCTCAGTGGTTCCAACTGACTGCATGGTGGTTGAGCGGAAACAAAATATATCAGAACGAGCCATACACATACATAGTGGCGAGGAAACCATCAACCAACTGCATTTATGAAGCCACATGGAAGGTCTTCTGTCAGT